GCTATCCCCCTGGGTAGAGTGCTGTGGCATCACAGCTCACAGCAACCTCCAACTCCTGGGCTCAAGCGAGTCTCCTGCCCCAGCCTCCCAAGTAGTTGGGACCACAGGTGCCTGCCACAACGTTCGGTTATTTTTTGGTTGCAGTCGTCATCATTGGTGGTGGGTCCAGGCTGGATTTGAACCTGCCACCTTAGGTATATGTGGCTGGCACCTTAGCCAGTTGAGCCACAGGCGCTGAGCCCAGAAAGGTCTTTTAAATAAATTTCAAGTTAGAAAAGAAGGATCTAACCAAGAGCATAGAATTGCATCAGGAGCACTGGTGAAGGGGTAAAGTCCCTTCATTTTAGTAATAAAGTGTTCAAGATAAAATGGAAATATCATTTTTTTAATAGAGGAGAATGATGTTAGGGGTGATGGTATTTGAAAATCCTCTTAGCATGTAGTTTGCTTTCTGAGAAAGTTCCTGTAAGATATTTGGAGTTTGAGTCTCTTGAATTGTCAAAGGTGATAGAGTCAAGTTGTATTCTTTTCAAATATTTAACTTTTAGAATGGCTAATGGAGCACATGTTTGTTTTAAAATCAATGGTAATTTCATTCATTCATTTGTCCATTCATTCATTATTTTTGAGACAGAGTCTCAATCCCTTGCCTTTAGGTTGAGTATGTGACATCACATAGTTCACAGCAGCCTCAAATTCTTGGGCTCAAGGGAACCTCTACAGGCAGACTACAGGCACCTGCCACAATGCCCAGCTAGTTTTCTATTTTTAGTAGAGATGGGGGTCTCTCTCAATAGAGTGCTGTGGCGTTACAACTCATAGCAACCTCAAACTTTTGTGCTTAAGCTATTCTCTTGCCTCAGCCTCCCATGTAGCTGGGACTACAGGTGCCCTCCACAATGCCTGGTTATCTTTTGTTTCAGTTGTCATTGTTGTTTAGCAGACCTAGGTTGGGCTTGAACCTGCCAGCCTCGATGTATGTGGCCAATGCCCTACTCAACTGAGCTGCAGGCATCGAGCCTAGAGATGGGGTCTTGCTTTTGCTCAGGCTGGTCTTGAACTCCTGAGCTCAAGCAGTTTACTAGCCTTTACCTCCCAGAGTGCTAGGATTACACGCGTGAGACACCACACCTGGCCTGATAATTCTAATTTATATGTATCATGAAGAAACTTTTAAAAAGTTTGTTAGTTTGAAATACATTTGTTCAATAGACTGACTGCTATA